AGCAGGCCCCGGCTGGCCAGCAGCCCTTGCTGCCAACCCCCAGCAAGCTGCCCTGGCACACAGCATGCCCGGGGGCCGTCTTGCTTCCAGCTGCTCTGTCTTAACTGAAAAAGAGGGATAATGCAGTAAAAACTTCCCTGACATGATGTAAATCACGTCCTATGCTCATAACAAGGATACCATGAGGTAGCAAATGGCAGCGGAAGGGCCTGGTCTCTCTTGAAAGACAGGCTATACCACGAAATTTTGATTTTTGAGAATTTGAAGCCCCTTGCTAGAATGGCATTGGGAACGGAAAAGAGGACTTTTTATTTATTTATTTAAATACTGCATATTTATATAGACAATGGGAGACTGAACATTGTTTGCTTAATAAAAACCCCATGACCTGTTTATGTGCCAGGGAAATCAACTGTGTTACCTAATAAAATGTTTTTTTTTTAGTTCAGAGCCCTATAAACATTTTAGTTGACTACTCCTAATCAAAACGTTCAAAACCAAAAACAATTTTGCAGCCTCTGCAAGGACAACTGAAGGTTTAGTGCAGTGCTCTAATACTTCTGAATTGCCCTTGCGCAGCTCCCTGAGGACATCAGGAATCAGCACCATCGAAGGTTTCGCAACAGAAATTGTTCAAAAGACATCAGAGAAAGTGCAAGAGCCAATGCAGATTGCAATTTAGTACCCAGCAGGAAAGGGAACACAAGAAAAGCAGCCTCAGCTCTTCCTCTCTCCATAAAATTGAAGATGGTCTTGCAAACGGAGACGTGGAGAAGCCCATGTGCCTCTCCCTGCACAGATCGCTCTTCTGAGACCAGCGACTGGGGGGAAAGAGCAATCCAAGGCCCACGGGAGCCGGATTAACCTCCCGGCTTTGCATACGGATCCATTAACTGCGCTGCTCTTTCTCACAAGGATTGGCCACAAAAGCAGCAGGTCTCCGAGTGACCATTTTCCCCACTGATCCCGCCCTCCCCAGCAGCCTCTTTACATCCTCTCCCTGCCTCCTTTTCCTGCCCAGCCTGCGGTCCCCCCAACCCGCCCTTTGCTCTCTCTGGCCTCAGGGGTGGGCAGGGGAGCTCCGGGACATGGAAGTTGTTGCCCGCGCTGGATGGGCCCCCCGGCCTCCTGCCCCGAGGCGGATGCAGCCCATGGAGCTGGTCCCTGCGGCCTGGGGGTACCTTGGCGGCCTGCGCGGCACCTCAGCAGCCTGCGCGGCACCTCAGCGCCCTGCGCTCCTCCCTCTGCCCTGGCACCGACCCAGCAATTGCTCAATTTGTGCTGTTAAAAGGACCGACTGCTGCCACCAAAGCCCTGCTGTTAAGTGGCCATCTGCCTGCGCAGCAAGGAGCTTGCAGAGCATCTTAAAAAAATATACTCCTCATCTCCTCCAGCAATGGGGCCAGGCACAAGCATCCTGCAGGCAAGATCTGCTCTGGGGCCCTGAATGGGATCCCTCTGCTTATCATCAGCGCAAAACAAGAGCCACAAAACCCTTTATTTATTTATTTTTTAAAAAACACTTTTCCTCCTCCTTTGGAGATAGAGGCTGCTTGAATTCCTGCAAGAATTAGCCTTTGCTGCTCTCCAAATGCAGGGTGAAAGATGCTGGGCGATAAGACCGCAAGAACAAGAGTCCTTCTGAATGTGTCTTGGGCCAAATTCAAATTTGCAATCACTCAGCTGAAGCTGACAGATTGACACCAGGAATACGCTTGTCCCAGTGTGTTTAATGAATATTGACTAGGTCATTACGATGTTTTCTATCCACATGGATCTCTCTCTTAGCCTGAAATTTATAGTTTAATACCTTAGAGCTCAATCGTAAAGTAAGAGACAGGAATAAAAGTAACTGTTTCTCTGTAATGAGCCACGTGGGATAGTTCAAACAGAGTCTCATTCTTAGCGGGTCACAGGTCTTTCTTTTTCTTTCCTTAGGAATGTTCTTCAGAGAAAAAAATCTCAAGCCACAAATTCTCGAGTGCAGTAGCAGAGACTGCAGACCACTTCCTTTTACTCAGTTATCCATAAATTAGTTGGGAATGGTGAAGCCTCAAAAACTATTTGCATACTTTTCAGAGGGTAGTTGCAAACACTGCCAGCACTGGAAAGGAAGGACACCAAAGGCTACACTTGGGTGCTGAACTGCAGTCAAGTCAAGGGAAAAAAAGATCAAATGTGTATATTCCAAAGAAACATAGCCAGAAGTCTGCTGGAGACCTGAGGGACTAATCCTTAGTATTCCTTTGCTATTACTGATTAATGACAAGAGAAATCTGGAAAGAAGTTTCCTGAAAAACATGAGGAGTGCTATATTAGGGGTTAGCCCTCTTATATTTGCAACACCTTTTCCTTTTGCAGGAAAGGAAACTGTTGGGCTTGACAACAGTTTAACTCTGTAACTATTTTTAAAGGAATAATGTAAAAATAGGAAGAGCCAGATTACATCTTCAGCTGTGAGCTCTGATTTTGTATTTCCAGGAGCTTTCAGTGAGGCTTTTTTTAAAAAAGGCTGATTTTTAATCTGGTGAGGACTTACATTGATGCTTCAAAAACTCTTCTGGCCATCCCACTGAACCTTGTAAGTCCTGACTGGTTCAGGTGTTGGCTGATACATCTTATTTTCCTTGTCTTTCACTTCAAGCATGATAGGTAGCTGCTCCGGGGCTGATAATTTACGTTAACAGTCCACCATAATTTATATAGAACAAAATACAGTAATTTGTCACTTTCCACTAAGTTAATGCAAGTGTGATTTCATATTTCATAAACTTGTCTATGTATATCATAGATGTCAAGTTTTACTATCAGGAACACTAGATTTTAAGTACGGAGGCTTTTGGTTCTTAAAATTATAGTGTTTGCAAAAGCAAAGAATTACGTATCTCCATAACTGTGACACATGGACTACTACCCTGCTCTTCTGCACCCGCGTATGTTTGCATATTCAAAGCAGATATGGGAAGATCATTTTACAGGGATATAAGGTGTGCCAACCTTTGTCCTAGGTTGTGGACAAGGGTCAGGAGCTTCGGAAGCCTGGACCAAAATATTCCTGGTCCAAACCATGCCTAAAGTAACTGGAAGTAGAGATAGACCTGACTCTTAACAGTAAGAGCCATTTATCAGCCTAACCCTCGCAGTATCTCCTGAGTATGGCAACTGGCAGGCTCTTCCAGCAGCATTTCCCCCTTTAAACTTAACCCCACTTCCTTGCTTCAAGGAAGTACGGCCTGCACAGAGCCCCTCTGGTTATGCCCTAAGGATCATGCAGTGGTGCCAGGAGCAGATCCACCACATTCCCTGCAGACCTCAGCCCACTGTCTCCACTGACTTCTTCCTCCTTGGAATTTCCTGTAAGTACTTGAAGGAAAACTCTTGACTCAAGAGTGCTTGAATGAGATTTGAATGGCATTTCACAACGTCCTTCCAAGATCCAAGACCAACTGTTGTACCAGGCACCTACCAGGCACATCCCTGCTTCCAGTGAGTCACTCCAGGCAGTGCCTCCTCTTGCCCAGGCCAGGCTAATTTTCGGCTTTACTTTTTGGTTTCACTGATATTAACCTGCACGTAAGTACCCGTAGCGCCTCTCAGAGGACAACTCAGCAGTGCCTTCTGGAGAAGCAGTGGCACCAGAACCAAAAGCCACGAGATAGGAGGGGGACCCCAGGCCTACAGCCGGGACAGGAGGCAGCAGAGCTGAAGCAAATGTGTGCATGAAGCCTGGAGTCTGCAGGGCAGACATTCTGCCCAGCCAGCAGTGACTTCACCTCCTTCCTTTTGCAAAACAAGGCAAGGAGAAACTGCTGAAAGAATCAGCTCTGAGGGGAAAAGCCCAGCTCTTCTTCCCCTGTTTTGGTTCAGGCCACCTTTTAATGGAAACTCTTACTCCAGGACTTTAGCACAACAGAGGCCCGGGAGCTTGGCCTTGCTCTCTATTTTCCTTGGTGTGTGCACAGCTCCCATGGACAGCAGTGGGAGATGCAGGCATGGAAAAAAGACCCAACAGACCTCAGCTTAAATGCTTTTTCTCAAAACAAACAAACCCACCAAGCTTAGTTTGTTCAAAGAAGAAAGGATCATATTCTATTTCCCCTACTGCAGGGGGAAAGAAACAATTTTAAAAGGCCAGCCCAGGTTGCGGATTTGAAGTCAGGAATGGGATGTTAGGAGTCTTTTCTCCCTGGGCCTTACTAGCAGGCCCCGTTTGTGGCCAAGCCGGGCCGCAGCAAACGATAAAAGGGACCTGCTCAGGCCATGCCAAGTCCAACGGGCTCTGGTCTATCAGCCTCAAGCATCTCCTACATCTTGCTGCATGGGTGCCATGCGTGGGACACACATTACTCAGAACAGAACACTAAAATGGGCCATGGACACCACAGAAATGAACAGCATTTCCTCATTCATTGTTTGTATTAAAAGGCAAGTCATTTTCCTGCAGACTCACATAAAACACACACTCTCAGATTAAGACCGGGGACCTGCCCTGCTGTATGCTGATTGTAAAGGCTCTTTCCCCACTGACTGTGCCCTTCTCCACTAGTGAGTAAGCAGTAAAGTGTAACAGGCCCCACTGGTGGCTTTTTTGTAGAAACAGGCAGCAGAAGACCATGTATTGTGACTTTCTTAAAATATCATATCCATGGTTTGGGGCATCCTGAATGTATATGCAACTTCACTTTCCCTCCCTCTGGGCTTTTAGGTATCGAAACCGGTTCCTTTGTGGTGTAAAAGGTCTCATTTTTACCCCAGCATCTCACAACAGGAACGAGTGCCACACAGCAAGACGCACACGCACAACATTGACTCATGGCGATGGAGCTGGGCTGGCACGGAGCTGACTCACAGAGACCCATTAACAAAACTCACTGAAGACCACATGGGCTTTTACTGATGCCAACTGCTGGGAGACGAGAACAGCCCTAGCAGCTTTGCACTTAACACGATACAAGGGGGGAAATGGAAGCAGTCCTGACGCCTGCCGGACTGCGGCCTACCTTTTCCCGACGGGAAGAAGCAGTCCATCTCCACGCTGCTCCGCGAGTGCGAGACGCAGAGCGCGCTGCTGGGCACCAGGCCCTCCTGGGGCGGGCTGCGCTCCGTGGTGCGCACCAGGCACCAGCCGGGCCGCTCGCTCGGCCGCTCCAGCAGCTCCACGGTCTGCCCCACTTGAATGCTCAGCTCGCTGCTGTGGCCGGCCGTGAAGTCCTGGAGCACCACGGTTAGTTCACAGCCTCCAGACAGCTGCCCGGGTTTGACAGAAAACAAAAAAGAAAAAAAAAGGGATAGAAGTCAGAGCGCGCAGGAGGAAGTCAAGTCATCTCTATATTATATTTACACTGGCAAAGGCAAGATTTGTGTTCCTTAGAAGCCAAGTTAATAATTTCTTTTGTCAAACCTTCAAAGTATTATGACTCTTGTTTCCTTTAGTTCCTATTGATACTGCTGGGCTGAATTGAGAAATCAAAAGCTACCCACCCAGTAACCTTCTGAATGCTGCCATTTTCTAGCTGTGGACGGATAATTATTAAGACCTTGGCTTTTTTATGGCTTTAGTTTTTGGGTGACTTTCCAGAATGGCGATAGCCCAGGTCTCCTCCACACTCTGCCCCATGGCAGGGCAAATTCCAGCTCACCCCATGCCAGACACCCTTGCTAGACACACTCCCCCATGTCACCAGCATGGCAAGGAAAAACAGCTACAGCTTTTTGCAGGACCAGAAATCTGCCCTCATCTTCCCAGACTTGCTATAGGGACCTCTTAGGAAACTAGGGGATCCTGAGGGGGCAGATCAAAAAAGCTCCTCCTACGCACTCTGATGGAAAACAGAAGTGTAAAGATATAAACGTGGAGTGACTGATTATATGCTGACTTCCAGGATTTGTAACTAAGAATAAATGTATCGTCTTACTTCCGTAGTGAGTGCTGGCAACCCACTGCTTTCCCTCAGTCTCACACCCTGCGACTCTCAATGAACAATACTGGCCTCTGTTTAACCACAGTCTCTACGTAACCAGAGACCTGACACACAAGTGCTTGTGCATAGAGCAGAATCCATCTAAATGTTTGTGTTCCTACATATTTGGATCTCATGGTTGGATTCTCTGGTGCCTAGAAAGGTGTGAGCACAAATTTAAGCTTTTTCTGGTTTCTGACCTTTCCAGTGTGGATTCCTTAGCGTCTGCCTGGCATCAGAGACCCCTGTTCGGGTTCTCCTCCTGTACTTGCGGCCTATTTCCCTGAAACATGCAGGAATCTTGGAGATTCTTATTGAACTGCCAAATTTCACTGAAATTAGTCCACTGATTGAAGAGTTAATGAGATGAGAACTGTAAACAAGCTGATTGAGGACAGTGTAATCCTATAAATATCACTTTCTCCAGATATCAAGATAAAAATAAGCATATTAGAATATTTTAAAGAAACCACTCGCAAATACAACAGAATTGGGACAAATCTTGGAAGACGCTAAGTGTCCCTGTGAAATCAGTGAGAACTGGGAACTGCCCTTAGGAGGCACCTTCCTACCTCCTCCCTGCAGACTTGGCTCTTGGGCTGGCCCAGTCTCACAGCCCCCTGATCTCAGCCCCAGACACAGATTCCCAAGGGAACAGGGTCTCTTCCCCCTTAAGCGACATAGCGGTTCGTGTGTCTAACGCAGGCATGAAAGAAATCCCGTTTGCAGTTGCTGTATTTACAGTTACAGAAAGGGATCAGTGGACAAGGACTGGTTCTCACCTGTCCTGTGTCTCTGCCGTAGACGAAATGCTAGATTTGGGGAAGAAGAAGGAAACATTGCTCTGAAAGGTTATTTGTAAGTAAGCAGAAAAAAACAAACAAAACAAACCATGGTGGCTGTTTGAGACCACTCAAACAGTCAAGAGCGATAGCATTAATTAATCCCAGCAGAGAGAGCTCAGATGGTTGATGAAAGTGTGGCAAGAGTTCAGTTCAGCACCTAGCTAAGCAGTTTATCAACAAATCCATCATCTGTCACACTGATACAATCTCCACATAACTGGAATAACAAACATCCACTGGTATTGTAAGAGCAAGAGATTGTTAAAATACTTGCTGAGATTTCTTTGCTGTGAATTAATTTGAGAAGTGGAAAGTCCTTCTGATGTGGTATCTGAGAGACATTTAATGCTCAAGAAAACCCTGATTACTTATCGGCAAATACATCTCTCTGCAAATGTGATGAATCTCACTTAATTCTACCACTACTTTGTTACAAATATGTTTCCCTTTTCCCACATTATTTTATCTATTACATTTTCTCTGAAGATAACGAAACTCTTTTTTTTTCTCTCTTTTTGAGGAAAATGTGGAAACAAGTGCTTTGCTGTACCTCTCTTCCAGAGATTAGTTTTACGCATCTCATGCCCTGCTCTGAAGTGCCACTAGGTGTCCGTGTTTGCCACCACACAGCAAGGTGATTTGCTGTAAGGAGTTAACTCTCATCCTCGGCCCAGGCACTTATGTTTGCATGGGTGCAGGTAGGACGTGCAGGCACGAGGGACCTGGCCGAGCGATGTCCTGGGCTCCCTTCAGACAGGAGCTCCAGACCCATCATTTCAATGGGAAGGGCAGAGGATGTTCCAAGGCAGTCATAGCCTTTCTTCAGATGGTCAGTTTAATTTCTGAAAAAGTGATCATTCTCCTTGCTTAAGCAAGGCAGGTGCTATAGCCCTGAAATATCCCCGGGAAAGAGGGTGAGGAAACCCTACAGCAAGTTTGGGACCAGCAGAGCACTTGCCAGGGTGTTGGGCTGGGAAGGGCTGCTCAGGGCAGCTCCCCTCCTGCAGCCTGTGCACAACGGGCCGAGGAGCCATCCCATCCCATCCCATCCCATCCCATCCCATCCCATCCCATCCCATCCCATTGACCCCCCACAGCCTCTGCCAATCCTTCCCCAATACCTACACACCCGTGACAAAAGCAGATGCTTCCATCAGGACAACACCTGTAAGTGTTATCCCAGAGAAGCCATATGTGCTCCACGACTCTCAAGTGCCACATAGCCCCAAGCTCCTGTTATCTCTGACTCATTAGAAACAGCTACTTAATATAATGAGAACTGGAAGTAATGGGCACCTCTGGGAGCTGCTCAGCACCTGGTATGATCAAACCCTCCTTCAGCAGGGGAGATGCTCACAGGCCCCTGGCTACAGAAACCTACCTTTGATGTCTGTGTTAGGAAGCCAGCCTTGCCTGGGTCTTTTGATATGTCACTGGCTCCTCTGGACAGAAACATGGGCCAGGATCTTGCCCTGTGCTCTGACTTGCTGCTGGAGGATCCAGCCCTAGAGAGGCAGATCCTGATCTGTGCAAATCTGTGGAGACTCCTGCCCAGCTGAGCAGCAGCAAAGAGCACTCAGCTTTGAGGCCAAGGATATGTTTGCAGGGAAAGACTCTGCTTTGGCAGAAGGAATGAAGCAGATTCATTTTTTGCAGGTGCAGCTGATCGGTGCAAAGTCTTAACCCAGCTGGGTGCCCAGATTAGTTTTAGGGGCTGACTGTGGTTGCAAAGTGCAAAATGGGAAATTCTTCCTTTTGCAAAGTATTTCTCAAGCTTGTTCTGTGTCTTATACACCACCACATCGCATTTACTTACCAAATTAACCCACAGCAAAGTCATCTCTCTAGAAAGATTACATTACACTAATAGGTATAGAATTGGCAAGCCACTTAAGAGTAATGCAAATACATCTGATTCCCGATGGCAGAAATCCTTTCACCTGTGAAGTGTGCCCTCAAGCTATTACATATCCAATTTGTTTTTAGAAGGGAACTTCAAAATCTCAGAGAAATACATGTAGCTTCTCTCTACTTCTGAGTAGGCAAACTGGGATTCAGAGGAGCTGCTGGTTTCTTACACATTACATCTAGTTTGGAAAGAGAAGGAAAACAGAGGATGTCCTTGAGGTTTTACTTCACAGGTAAATGGTTTCATATTTTAGCCTGTGGTAAGTTCACTTTTATTATTCCTGTGACAAAACCACCATGATAGCTGTTGACTGGATATATTTAAAACACCAGTCTAATGTGTGTATTGTACAACAGGATCAGTGAGAGAGATTAAAATAAAAATAAGGATGCAACACACCTTCGCAAAGCACAAAACATAACTAAAACATCTGATGCAGGGACAAATCTAATGAATTACATAGAAAGGAATGTCATTTCTTGTGACCTTCAAAGGAAAGGAAAGGGGACTAGCAAAAGCAAATAGCAAAATGCAGCAATGAAGCAGAAGGGCCCTGAACAGGCTGGGGTGCTTGTGCTGTGTGTCCTGCGGCCAGCGCTGCTCCTCACTGCTCCACAGAAGCGGCTGCAGCAGCAGGGAACTGCCTCCTGCCCCTGCTTGCGCTTGTACCCGGCCTGGGAAGCGTCACTGCGTATCCAGGGCATGAACATCCTCACCATGTGCCAAAGCAGGTTCAACCTGAGCTACACAGAGCCTGCTCTGTGCTACCAATGCCTGCAGGAACCGGGCACGCAGCGCTTGGAAGCTCTCATCTCTGTGGCTGGACTTTGCTTGCTGGACTCTGAGCACCCACGTGAGCAGTTTACTTAGGACCCTGATTCTGATGAATGGATTTTGTCACCATTTAAAAGAGCCGTTGCAACCTTTTGCTTGGAAACACCCAACCCAGGTGCCCGTCAACCTCAGGAGCGGGAAATGATCCCAGATGGGGACATGTCCTGTTGTCGGGACATCCAAGCTGCCCAAGCACAGGAACCAGCTAAGCTCCAGGGACCAGCTAAGCTCCCTTTAGCGCAGGATGACCACGCACTGAGCTCTCCCAAATCACACTGCTGCCACTGCTGCATCTGCTTGGTTTCCAGCTCGTGCCATAGCCAGCAAACACTAACAGCTTATTTATCATTACACTCTAGTTGGAAAAGATCCATTAAGTTGCAGACTGCCCTTCCTTCTTGCTAGAATACATCTTAACTAGTATTTAATCCACTCCAGTTTAAAGGAAGTAGGAAAGAATAGCTCTCTAATAGGGTGGGCAGAGATTTGGAGGAGCCGGGCCTCTGCAGAAGGATTCGTCAGGCACTTCTTTGCTGGGAAACTAAACAGTTTATCCTGAAAACTGCAATGGATCTCGTGCTGGTTCTAAAAACAAACCCAAGCAGGGAGAGGCGGAGAACTGGTGACAGCAATACTGTGGTGGCTGTTGTATCAGCACAAGTGAATAAACATGTAACAGCCCAGCAAGTGCCCCAGCAC